ACGTATGTCAAGATGCTCGAGGTAACCTGTTTCTCAAGGACGATATCGGCGAAATGTACTATTTACGTGGTAACGTACCCGAACATCCTATTATCAATGACTACGACGAATATCCCTTGTTTTTGAGCATTCTGCGAAAGGATCCTCCAGTAGCTCCGTTGCAGGTTTCCCTTGAAGTCAATAAACTGTCAGGAGGTAAACTGAAGCATCTACTGGCGGGATCTCCCTCTGGCGAATGGAGTCAGGAAACAGAACGCATTTTAGAGGTTGATGTGAGACGGATGATCGACGAGAATCGTGCTGTTCATCCCTTGCTCACTTCTGACGCTAAACCAAAGCATTTCTGGAAAGACTTTTTGGAAAAGAAAAAGAAAGCTTTACTGGAAGAACCGAAGGAAACCGCTGTTACTCCCGTTGAATGAAACGACGTATTTTTCCTATTATTGGTTTTGTCGTATCTTTCATTGTGTTTGAAATTTGATCAGTTTATGAATGATTAATATTACACCAATTCTGGTAAGTGTTTTAATGGAATGGTTTGTCCATTGACAGAAAAAACTTGCAATAAACTTTATACGCTGTCGTTCATTTATTTGCGTAGCAAACCGCTATTGTAAATATCTTACCTGTGAAATGTCATACATTTAGCTGAAATAGAATATTCTTGCCTAATTACATTTTCCAGAACCTCAACTTTGGGTCTGTTTCATGGAGAATGAAGAATTGCTTAAATAAGGAATCGTATTCCATGACAAAGCGATGTATTTTTCGTGACCGTTGCAATAAGTGATTACAGTCACGACGAATGAAACTCGGATTGCAACAAACGCTTTTCAGCTAATGACTAGACTAACCACCACTAAAGATGTGTGAGGGATAACAAAAAGTCCTTACAGTAGTCCGTCAGTTTCGATGACTGCATTTTTTTGTATCGCGTAGGCAGCATCCTCGCACAGTGCTTCCAGTGTTCCTGATCATGTGCCAGCGTTTGAGCTTCGGCAGAAGATAACTCGAGTTTGAAGCCAAGTCCTTCGAGATTGCTCCATGTTATTTTTGGCCGGACGTTGAGCAAGTAGGGACTGTTTCGCCTTTCTTTCTGAATATATTTTCAAAGCATGCCAAAACTCTGGCCTCTTCGACTTTTCAGTCTGGAGTAGTAGCACTACATCCAAGCACTCTCGGATATCTGGACTCTAGATTTGTCGAGATGCGTGAGCCCAGTTATTCATCTGAGGAAGCCCAATTTAACCGCTTACATCTGACATAAAAGCTTTTCAATCATGGTTCATGACTCAGACTTACCTCTGCTTTACTCTTGAGAGTTCACGCAGAACGCCACTGGCTGTTCATATCCGTTCTTAGACCTGTTCCATTTTCATACCATACCGGTAAACACGACTCCGAGGTACGCAAATTTCTTCTGCACTAGTATTTATCTAAGAGCGCCACTGGCAGAAAAATGGGAAGTCGCTAGGCTTTAATTTTAGACACGTTCATAAGCGTTTGCTTTTCCAAAGGTTATTTACGTGATGGTAATGGACTGTTTTAAATTGATTCTTCCCTTAGGCAATAAAATAGACTTTAGCAACAGTTTTTTGGTTGAATCCTCACTAATTGTACTGAAGAAAATTCAAACAGCTGAGTGTATAAAGTGTGTATACAGCATTTTGCTTCATAGTCATATATGCATAAATTCATGGATAGAAACGAATTCGAAATGCAGATGCACAAAGCGAGAAATAAATGAATAGTCGCAAAATTAATAGAGATCTGCCTGCATAATATTTTGAATTTTTTTGGAGTTGCTGATGTGTCATCACATGATTGACAGTTGGTTCTGCAAAGAGTGCTAGAGAGTTGAGTTGAGTAAGTTTTATGTGACCATTGTAAAGCGAACGCCATTTTCGTTCTTTTGCTGCTTATATACTTTTTCGTCTAAGTCATAGCGCGTACGTTTAGTGTTCAAAACAACCATGGCGGAAGTGGTAGAAGTGAGGACGATGCAGCACACCTGTGTGACCTGCGGAGTTCGGTTTGCATCACAAAACCTTCAAAGAGATCATTACAAATCCGAATGGCATCGATATAATGTTATGCGGAAGGCGGCCGATTTGAAATCCGTTTCTTGCATCGATTTTGAGGAGAAACTCATTGCCCAACTGAAAGTTGTAAGTGTTTTTCTGTATAGACTTAATTATTTGATGCCCCGCATTAGGCATCGGTGACGTGCGTTCACCCATTAAACAAGTAGCAGTTTAATAGCCTGCGAATAACAGGTGCAGTGGAACGCCTTGACATGATCTAATGGATCTTATGAGAATGTCATGTGGACTAATGCTTGCAGCTTTTACAGTTATTAGTAAAGATCATGGGTTTATACAGTTGTTATGATTGGACCATTGCGAGAGAATAGACGATAGTCGCACTGTCGCGATATGCGAAGCCAACCACTGAACGTAATGCCTGATGACAAGCAGTCGCCAAGAAGATCTTCAACATAATGGGCTGATTTCGTTAGAACTGGCAAGACATTGAAAAGACTAAAGAGTAAGCACGCGTGAGATCCAGGCGGGTTGCTTTACGGCACCCGGCGTCATTTTCGATGCAATTGGATAAGAAGTTATAAGTGTTGTAATATTACATTCGTTTTTATAGCTGTATTTCATGATATTCATCTATCATTTGTTTTCTTACCCATCTTTAGACGCTTTGCAAAACCGTAGTCAGTTTAAAGTTCTTGATGACCACTCATTTCAACATATGGCATTTTGATATTATTAAATGTTCACGATTCTAGTTGTTTGTATTTATGCATGAGCATTTTCTGACAAAGTTTGATTTTATTCATTAATGTTATCTGGCAGTTAATTTTATAAAATAAGAAACCGACTTTTCATGATATTCACTTTCTTTTACCGTAAATGACATACATTATAAAATTAACAGTAGTAGTGGTTCATGGGTCATGTGGACTTGTAACGGAATGTTCACAAATTACCGTTGACCAGGCATGTCATCTGTTATTCAGATTTATATTTTTTCCGTGTCCAATCAGTTTTAGTCTTAAGCTCCGTATGACACGGTAACACTACGTAGAACGCTGAACTTGAAATCGAAAGATAATGGATTTCAGTCCGACTCCCAATCTGACCATTTGCACTTCTTTCCGATGAGGTAAAAGATGAATGAACCTACGTGGGCGAGGAAAAGAAAGACATTGTACGCTGATGGACCCGCAGTTGTGTGTAACACATTCAGAACGTGTCATCCTTCTGCATAATTGCATCAAGATTCCGATATGCGGTATATCATGACATGAGTGATAGAGAATGCCCCAAATATTGGTCTTCTGGGAATTTTAGGGACGCTACTATGCGAGCGGTTTTAATCTTGTTTTTTTTTGCATTTTCTAGCGTCAAATAATAGTTTTTATTATTTTCCTTAATCTAAAGTGTACTTTATGATCGACATCGCTAATGTGCAGCCGATCAATATCGTGACACCACACTGAACAACTGTGAGTTGTTTTCGAACCAAGTCTTAATGATAGCGAACGCTTTGATCATTTTCACTAGAACAGCTCATGACTGATTCATTACCGAAGTTTTTTTTGAGGCATGGATTATTCTATAAAAGCGAATGATTGGTCAGAACATTGATCCTGAGGACTATGATTAGACAGTAAGCGTAAATGGTTCCAAATGGTACCCTTTTTAGGTTTGTTGTTTTCAATCAATTCAACAACGTGAGATAAAACTTACTTGCGTATTTGGGTCGTCGATCTGCCTTCCTGCCTGTGCCGTATTGAACTGATCATTTAAGAAGTGAAGAGTGCATCTTTTTGCACTATGCAGAGATACGTCAAATAGGAGCCCATAAATTTTTCCCGTTGCGCTTTTTCATCATTTGCATCAGTGCATTTAAGGCTTCAGATGTTTTGCGACATCTTCGGTCCGTTGTTTGGGAATTTTACTTCAGGTTCTCGTTATGGAGGAAAGATAAAGTCTATATCAAATGATCATATAGTTTGCAGCGGCAAATACATCTGAGCCTTTGGTCATTATGGGAGCTATTATGAATTTTGAAGCGATTGGCTAGCGAGGGTGATATATTCTTATTTATTTATACGGCTGTTTTGTTGGGAGAAGGACATTCTTTTAAGCAGTCCTGACAGAAAGACTGAATCCCATGTTCAGTTGTTGTTTATTCTTGAAGAGAGTCTGATTTTTGTAGAATGTAATGCCATTTTCTTTAAAAGAGGAGGTTGTTTATTCCGTTTATTGGCTCAATGGTATTTTCATTTCATGACTGTGAAAACACTGAATGGCTATTGTCTACTCTAGTAGTAATCTTCCACGGATGAGTAACAAAACATGTTATTCCCCATAAATTGGTTTTTGAAAGTTATATAGAATATTTACTGCTTGTTCTGTAGGCGTGATTAAGGCGTGATGAAACAGTGGATAAAAGACTTAAACTCCGCAGGTGCCGTGTTCGAATCCCTAAAAATTTGTCTTGACAGCTATTTACGTTAAGAAAGGAATTCACTCCACGATTCTTCAGTGCAACCAGCCGAGAAAAGGGTAGTGAGTCACTGAACTTGCGAACATCTACTTAGAGAAGGATAAGAGACGGACGCCTTGCCATCTGATGCTAGTACTGCATATGGCTGCAGCTCACCTTGACCCACTTGATGGTTGTTTGTTAGATGTAGCAATCAGTGAAAGCTGAAATTCCTCATGTTATTGTTACATGTTATCCATTTCATCCAATCACGAAATGGCCCATAGCATATATGTGACATTTACGAAATACACCATGCGACATTTAGCGTACCTCTGAAGAGGGTAAGCCGAAGAGCTACTTTTGTTCGCCGTGCAACAAGTCCTTTCAAAGCGAAGAGACGTTTGACAACCACATGAAGTCGAAAAAGCACAAGGTTCAACAACACAGGGTTGAATCTGAGTCTTCGGAAGAAGTGAAGGATGATGAACCGTTACCAGAAGGGCGAACAACTCACTTGTTGCCTGACGCTGAATCGGCGCCAAGAGGTAGAGTATAGCTTTAATTAACTTTATGTTATTGTAG